TTACTCACGGAATAGTAATTTAATCAATACTACCAGTGTTTCCGGAAGTGTGTCCATTCAAGTGGCTCCAGCTCATCCCTGTGGTATGCCAAACCAAAACACTTCCCTAGCCACTATTCCCCTACCTGTGTGGTCTCCCCCATTAGAATGAATAAATTTCTTCAAAGAATACGCAAGAGAAAGGCCATCTGATAAGCAGGTAGAAGAAAACTACACTTCTGATGCCTCATTGTGATTTGGAAATGACCCTGAGCCAGAAGAACGTGAGCTCTGGGAAGGTTTTCTGTGAGGACTGTGTCTTGTTTAGGTCTAAGCCTTGTTAACAGCGAAGAGGTCTATTGCTACGGCCCTGGGCAAAGGGAATGACTGTTTTGGCCACATCAACCCAAGAAACATGAAAACAGAAAACATCCCTCATCTCTAGGCTCAGACTAAGGGGCCCTAAAGTTTCCAAATCTAAGCCTTGACTGAAATTTCCAAAGCCAAGTCTGAGTGAGTGAATGAATGAATGCAAATGCACTTTTAGGCACTTATGATATGGTAAATGTTGGGAATACAAAAAGGAAAAATCAAGACCGCCCCTGCCTTTAAGGAGTTTGCATGTTAATAAGAGGAAACAACACATAATAAGGGAAGTGACCCCAGAAATGTGTTCTGGTCAAGGAAGTAACGGTAGTCGGGGAAGGTAGTCTTAAGACAGTGTTAAAGGTGGAAAGGGCAGCTCTCTGGCACAGTGGATGGAGAGCCAGACCTGGAATCAGAAAGACTCAACTTCACCAGTTCAAATCTGGCCTCAGACACTAGCTGTGTGACCCTAGGCAAGTCACTTAATCCTGTATGCCTTAAGTTTCCTCATCTGTAAAATGAGTTGGCAAAGGAAATGGCAAATCAGTCCAGTATTTGCTGAGGAAACCAAATGGGGTCCTGTAGAGTCAGATGTGACTGAACAACAGCAAAAGGTGGGAAAACAAGGAGAAGAGATGCAAAGCATAACTATGGCCATGCAGTGGTGGGGTCTGGGTCTGGCCAACTATGGTGAGGTGGAATTGTAGTGCAAGTCTACGCAAGGATTCCCAAAAGTCTTGGTGCAGGTTTAGTTTTAATAGCTTGAAAGTAGTTTGTTGTTATCCCTTTGAAGTAAATATCCTTTTGTAAAAGATAATCTAAGTGGCTAAAAGGAACTTGGACCCCTAAAATTAAGGGAAAAGTCAGTGGAGCCTTTTAACGGTGGCATATTCCATCAATCTGTCTCAGGGTACTAGAGAACGCTAGGGTGGTTGGAGGTGAAATATAACACGCCTGGCCCTCGGACAGTGGTGACCAGAGACTAATTAAAGACAATAGGGAAAAACTGGAGTCCGTGGGGGTGAGTGGGGAGGGGGGAGCAGCTTTAAACTTCAATAGCTTAAAACAGCACCCAGACTTCTGGGACACCCTGTATATATAGCCCTAGGATCTCTTCTGTGCAATTAGTCACAAATAACCAGCTGCCTATTGAACATCTCAAACTGCATGTCCTACAGGCTCCTCAAACTCAAGTTCAAAAGAGAATTCATTATCTTACCCCCCCAAAAAAACCTTTCCCTCTTCCTACCTTCCCTATAGCTGTCAAAGGCACCATCCACCTCCTAGTTACCCGGGCTGACAATCTCTGCATCATCCTCTACTCCTCAGGCTCACCTCAAAGATCTAGTAGTTGCTGACTCTGGTTTCTACTTTCACGTCTCCTGCATCCGCTTTTCTCCACTCATGCAGCCTCTCACGCCTTGTGCCTGGGGTATTCCAATATCTTTCTAACTGGTTTTTCTGTCTCCAATCCCTCCTTATTCCATTCCATCTTCCACTGAGCTGTCAAGGTCTTTTTTTAAATGTAGGTCTGACCATGTCACACCTCCTCCCCCTTAATGAGTTCTAGTTGTTTCCCATTGCTTCCAATGAGTCTCTGGTCCCCACTGTCTGAGGGCCAGGTGTGTTACATTTCACCACCACCCTCTCACCAGTAACCTCCAGTACTCTGAAGGGGTTGGGGGAGTCTGCTGGTTAGAGACTCCACTGACACCCCCCCAAATTTTAGGGCTCCAAGAATCTCAGTCCCTTTTAGCCACAGATTATCTTTTACAAAAGAATATTTTCTTCAAAGGAATGATGACATACAAATTTTCCTTCTCCCAACATGTTACCCCAAGATCTCAGTCTCTGGGGAGGGGAGTGGAACTAGCCTAACTGAATTTAGCTCAATTCCTACATAGTATTAGTTGTACCAAATTCAAATCCCTCCACCTGCCTTGTGTCCCAGGACCCTGGCTTCCCAGCTGAGCTAGTTTCAGTATCTGGCCCCCAACGTCCCTATAGCTTCCTGGGGCAGGGATTCTACTCCCTTAACCTAGAACTGAAAAGGACAAATGAAACATCAAAAACCCAATCATGTTTCTCAGACCACATCATCTTAGGGGAGGGAGAAGTGGACCTCAAGCCCTTTCTCAGCTTACCATATGGTGCCACTTAATGTAGGAAAATGAGTCCTTTGTCCCTGAACCAGGCAAGAAGAGAGAAACTGCCTCAGTCAGACAGAGTTAAAGACACAACCAGCTCCATCTACATGGACAATGCAAAGAGGCTTCTTTTAACCACCTGGTAAGCCAAATAGTGTGACCACATGAGCCATTTCTTCAGTCTCCCAGAAGTAGGTCTTTGGCATCTCCCATATGAGTGCCTCAATTTTAGGTGGTCAGGGCATGTGCCAAATCCCATTACATTACACTCCTAGTAAAGCAATCTACCCACCCACTCCATTGTAGGCTCCTTCTCTTTTTGGTGAGTTCCTTCTGTGGTCTCCATTTTGGAGAGGTGCCCAAAATGGACATAATTCATTACCCTCCCAGTTCTGACTCAATTTTGACACCCCCACCTCCTTCAGGAGGCTTTATCTGGTCTCCCAACTGCTAATGCTTTCTCTTCTCATATTGCTTTCCTTCTACACTGCATATATCTAGTTATTTGTATGTTGTATGTTATCAGAATGTTAGCTCATAGAGGGCAAGGTAAGTTTTTTCTTGTCTTTCTTGAGCCCAGCACATAGTAAGTGCTTAATGAATACTTGTTGACTTATTTTTCTCCTTGACCAGGGGAAATCCCAGGAAATATTAAAAAATATAGACTTCTTATCACTTCAGAAAAATCAGAATTCTATCATACCACCAGATTTTCTTTTCTCCACCCTCCCACACACACACATAACACAAATGTATATCTATCTTGTTTCCAAAAAATATATCTAAGAGTTAAGAGCTTACTAGGATCAACACCAAAGATTCAGGACCACCATGGAGCCAGCTGTGGCCAGCTGCCAGCCTTATTGATCACTATCAGCACTGGGAACATGGGGCAGGGAGCGCATGAATCTTAGGAGCCAATTCGCTAAGAATTCATCCCTCTTGTCCAGTCCCCTTCCTTCTGGTCCTTGCTCAGCCTCTGGCCTCAAGTACAGAAACAGGAAACCCCCAAATTCAACAATTATTCTCACCATTTGTCACCTACCCAAGATTTATCTGGGGCCATATGAGCCCTCCTTTTATCTCACATTTGATGGAACGGGGATTACGATTCCCTCTTCTGAAAAATGAGACATACTCCACATTCTCCATATCATCAAATGAGAAGAGTATGAAAGCCTTTGTAAACCAAAGAATTATACTACTCTCTTGGGTACTTCAATGGAGACCCCCTCCAGGTCGGAATGGATCCACTAATCATCGCTTTTTAGATTCATTCTTCAACCACTTTGGAATCTGCTGAAATGTTCTACGTTCCAACCCACCTCCTCTCCAACTCACTTTGCTCCATCTTGTCCAGAAGGTTTGCATAAGAGATTGTCAAATTCATTACTGAATATCAGGTAAACATACACATCCACAGCAGAGACAACATGGGGTTTGGGGGGGGGGGTACATTCCCCCCAGCCCTAAAAGGAAATATTTCTTCATCATCTGGAAGGGAAACAAAGATTATGTGATTCAACCTCTTCATTTTACAGAGGAGGAAACTGAGACCCAGAGAAGAAAAAAGACTTGCCTAAGGTCACACATATGCACACACACACACACACACACACACACATACACACATTCATTCACTTGGCTTACGATCCTAGTAACCCTGATGGAAAAGGAAAAAGAGGTGAATCTGTCTTCTCTACTGGGGTAACCTAGAGGGAACCCTGAATTCTCAAGGGTTCAGTGAGGAGAGCCACTGCTTACCTTGCTAGCAAGGCTTGAGGTATGGGTTTGACTACAGCCTGCACTATTGCCTCCTGTCACTGCCATCCCAGGGCAGGTCACCAGAAGATGCATTTTATGGCCATGGTAACTCAAGTAGACGACCTACATTCTGAGGTATGGGAAAGATCATTTGATGTTCAGTTATGTCCAATTCTTCATGACCCTATTTGGGGTTTTGTTGGTAAAGATACTAGATTTCCTTTTGCCATTTCCTTCTCCAGCTCATTTTAAAGATGAGAAAACTGAGGCAAATAGGGTTAAGTGACTTGCCCAAGGTCACACAGTTAGTTAAGTGTCTGAGGCCAGATTTGAACCCAGAAAAAGCCTTCCTGACTTCAGCCCCAGCACTCTATTCACTGCGCCCCCCACCTGCCCCAGATAATAAGATCATAGATTTAGAGCTGGAATGAACCTCAAAAGTTCTGAAAAAACACCCCCCCCATTACAGATGAGAAAACGGAAGCAAACAGAGGTTAAGTGACTTGTCCAAGGTTATAGCTAGTAAGCATCTGAAATAAGATTTGAACCCAGGTCTTTCTGACTCGATTTGAATTGCTAGAAACAGCCTACTCTCTGAGGACATCATGACTTCTCTACTTAATAAAGTTTTGGTATTATTTTTATGACCACCCTTTTGGTAGAACAGAACCAGGGAGAAGTGACTTAGCCCTCCAGCTAACTCTTCCTCAGTATTCAGAAAATATCAAACTGTGTTGCCAATCAGACATTTTTTATTGAAAAAGGCCAGCTCTGATTCTTTCTCTAGCCCTTCCCTGGATAATGGCAAGGCTAGCACTGCCCCCACCATCTGTCTGCAGGGCACCTCCAGGCAGAAGTCTCTTTCCCTGTCCCTGGCCCTCCCCCGCTCCATTGGTTGAAGGATGGGTCACACTCCCTTGATGTAGTTTCTTCCCTGGGAACTCTGAGCCACCATCAGAGCTGGAGGGAAACAAAGATCATTTTGCAGAGGAGGAAACTGAGGCCCAGAGAAAGGAAGACACACAGTGAGTCAGCGTCAGAACTTGAACTCAGATTTCTCAATATTCAGTCAAGGTTGAGAGAGAAAAAGAAGTAATTCCTGTGGGGAAAAAATTGATAGCTATCTACTACATGGAGATGAGGGGCAACCAGGGGTGTACCCTGGGCTGAGGGAACCAAATCAAGGGATGCTGGACTCATGGAAGACTGGATGGCTTGGTCTGAAAGCTGGGAGGCCTGGCTTCTATTTTAAGACATGCTTTGTGGTGTGCCCTGTTAGGAAAGTGCATGGACGGTGCCCTATGCTGGGGAAAGATGAATGAAGGGTAGTTCATCATCATGGGAGACATCCTACTCATCCATCCATCCATCCAGAGAAACTCAGGTTGTCGGGGTTGGGGTGGGGAGAGCCCTGGGCTAGGTGTCATGGTGGAGACGAGGCAAGAGACAGAAAACGGCTGCCATCAGCTCAGTTGTTCCCTCCTCCCCACACAGGCCAGGGTCCCAGGGTCTCACGGAACCAAGGGCCAAAGGTGGGAGGGCCTTAGACATCTGCTTCAAACAAGGGATTAGTGAAGTAGCTGCCACTATCCCTGCTGGGGCTCGTTGGAGAAGAGGCGTCTTCTGAAACCTAAGGGTAAGAGAGACCAAGAGAGGAAGAGATGAAGGGGGAGAGAAACAGAGGGAAGTGCAGAAAGAGTAAGAGGAAGGAGAAACAGGAAGACACAAGGATGTAGAAAGATAACAGATACTGGGAGAGAGACAGAGCCGTACACAGAGAAACAAATAAGAGACAATCCCAGAGAGACACAGAGACAGAAAACAGAGTCAGAGAAAGGGACGCCCACCCACTCACCCAGACAGAGAGACAACAAGGGGCGGGGGCGGGGTGGAAAAAGCCGTGGGTGACGGGGACCACAGAGGCACTTAGCACCGCCATCCTCTGGTAATCTCTATCTCTTCTCCACAACCCATCGCTTCCCCCCAGGGCCTCAAGGACAACCTCACTTCCTTCCCAGCTGTTCAGAAACCAAAATTCTTGGCCAGACACCATGACCTCAGTGACCCAGCCTTGTGGCTAGAGACACCGTCCAAGAAAGTAGGGCAGAACTACCTCCCGCCCCCTTCACCCTGGAAGTTTTGGATGAAGGGGAATGAGATTGGGGTAAAGGAGAATGGAGAGAAATCCGATGGTTCCCTGCCAAAGATCAGAACAGTCTCTCCACAATCCCATCTCTATCCAAAACACTGATCTGGGGCCCAGGGCAAGGAGAAGGGAGGCAGACCTGGAAGGGGCCACCCGTTATTTCCAGGGCTGATTCCCAGCTACGTGGTCCTCAGTGACTCCCAAGTTTGACTCTCCTAGACATGGGATGACCTGTGACTTCCTCCTAAATCTGACCACCAATAACTTCTGGGTTTCCCCCAAACCTTCGGCGACTAGAGACTTGACCTCTGTTCTCTTATTCTTTGAAGTTACATGACCATGTAATTCACTGTGGAAACATCTGCTCACCGCTTCCACGGCAGGGCCGGGGTCCAGAACGGAGGGAGGGACCGGATTGCCGAAAATGGGGTTGTCGAAGCTTTGGTTCCCTTGATCTGATGCAGGTTCTGATCTCTGCCACAGAGTGGGGATCGGCAGAGGCCACAGCCTGTAAGCCAAGAAGAACATTGAATGTCAGATGAGCCTGGAAAAAGAGGATGCTTGCAGGGGCCCTCGTGACCCCCCTGCCCAACTCAGTGTCCTCCAGCAATAAGAACCAGGGACACCAGAGAGGCAGACTTCAACTCTGTGACTCATTGGATGCCTGACCCTGGGCAGGCCTTGTCCTTCTCTGAACCTCAGTTTCCTCTTTTGTAAGATACAGATAATTAAAGAATTAGTAGCTAGAAGAAGAAGTCTTATCTCGTCAGACACCTTTCATTTTACAGATGAAGGAATTGAGGTCCAGAAAGGGAAAGGTCAGCTCCAAAGTTCCTCTGATTAAAAAGGAAAGAGCCAGGATCCAAACCCAGGTCCTATCATCTCAAAATCCTCTGCCCTTTCCACCCTTCATTCTTTGGGGAAGTGAAGATGGAGACAGTAGGAAGAGACATGGAAATAATAATAGCACGCATTTGTTTAGTGCTTTAAATTTTGCAAAATATTTTACCTATGTCATCTCATTTCATCCTCATAACAACCCTATGTAAGGTGCTATTATTATCCCCATTTCGCAGATATGGAAACTGAGGATAAAAGCATTTGAATGACTGCCTAGGGTGATAACAGTTAGTGTCTGAGGGCACTCTAGCCACTTCACTACCTAGCTACCCCAAAGTGAGAAATCACTGTACCTAGATGGGAAAGCTCCTGTACCCTGTAATCATGTTGTAAGCTATACAACACAGCCTATATAGGTGTGAATTGAGTGGGAAAGGAAATGTCTCGTTTCCCTTGAGTCTCTCTGCCTTATCCTCACTGTTTCCTAAGGCTCATGTACTTACTGCTATTCCAGGCTTATTCTAAGACCAGGAATCGAATCTTTCAGCAAGTTCATTCCTGAGGTCCCCTTCATCACCATCACTACTCAGTGACCTTGGGTAAGTCACTTAACTTTTGAAAGGCCTTCTGATCATTCCAAATCCAGTGGGTTCACTCTGGAAAAATGACTACCCCATTCCAACCCTCATCCACACTACACATACTACTAGCCACCTTCCTAATGTGTGACTCTGGCTATGTTACTCTACTGCTCAAAAACTTCAGTCGCTCCCTATTACCTAAAGCAATGGTTTTGAAGTTTGTGGACCAAGGATTCCTGGGAGGTCATGGAGGTCAAGGGTCCAAGAATAATGGGAGCATATTGAGCCCTTTCCTCCCTTCCCTATTTAGGTCACATATTGCAGAATAATTTAAGAACAGTATTTTTTTTTGTTTTGGTGAGGTGATTGGGGTTGTGACTTGCCCAGAGTCACACAGCTAGGAAAAATATCATATATCTGAGGCCAGATTTGAACTCGAGTCCTCCTGACTTCAGGGCCAGTGCTTTATCCACTGCACCACCTAGTTGCCCCAAGAATAGTCTTTTAATCTGAAGCCCTTAGTCTTACCTAGATGAAAATTCTTATCTGTCTTAACTATTTATTAAATAGTTAAATATTTGTTAATAATAAATAATTAATAGTTAAATATTTATTAAATTTTAAATAGTTAAGTATTTATTAAATATTTACTATATTATTCCAAGATAATACCCTCAACTAAATCTGGTTTCCTCCCTTATCAAAAGATAATCACTTTCTTTGAGGAATTTGGGTAGAAAACCTAGGGAGAAACTCCTTTCTCCCTGAAAGAATTAGGGGGAGGGTGATTGTACAAGGGTAAGAAACCCTTGACTGATCCCCTAAAAAATGCCTCTTCTTTTTTTGTGCTTTGACCACATTGGAGCAATGATCAGATTACGAGAAGGAAGACGTCTCTGTGGCTTCAGTTAATGGAAGTATCTCTTGAGTTCTTTGGCCAATGGTCACCTTCCGCCATTTAAAAAGTGTTCAAAGAAGAAATGAATGGTTTCAGGAGAACGATTCCCTGGGGAGTTCAGACATTCTAAATTTTTTAAAAGACTAAGCATCCCTATCTCACCCAGGTTGGACATGCAAAGGCCACTTATGGGCCCACACCCAATCTGATCAGCACAAAAGCTGCCCCAAACTTTTTATTTGCTCTATGGTGTGACCTGAGCCAGACCATATCCCTACCTCCAACCCCACTGCAGCTCAAGAGATCCTCCAGCCTCAACCTCCCCAGGAGCAGAGATTCTCAGGCACGCGCCACCATGCCCAGCATGCAGACACCAAAAATGACTACTGTTCAGAGACTTTTACTAAGCTCTGACCCTTGGCTAAGTCTTAACTGGAGTTTTGTCTGTTGTTTGAGATTATAAATCATAATTCCAAAAATGGCTTGTGTGAGAGATTTTTCAAAGGCCCTGGGGATACGGAGGTGGAGGGGAAGGGAAAATGGGAAATAACTCTGCCAGTATTTGGACCTGTCTCTAAGCAGCAATGTTTAGAATTAGTTTAATCTAAGTTAACAAAATTGTTTCTGGCAGGCAGTGCCTAAAGCCCTGAATATAGAATTTTCTTCCACTCCACAAATAAGCAACTATACCTTCTATAAAACTGAGAGAATGTCTCAAACATAGATTGCATTGCTATTTTTTCAAATGTATAAAGATGCTAACATAATTAGTAAAAGACACTTCCATTTAATCTAATCTTAGAATTTGAATCCTAGCTACGCCATTTACTACCTTGATCTTGGGCAAGTAACTTAACCTATTTAGGCCTCATTTTCTTCATTTGTTAAAAAAAAAAAAGTGGAGGGAGGGAGAGTTGCACTAGAAAATCAGCAGTTATTAAGCTGTGGGTCACAACCCATATGGGGTCATGAAAAATTTGGCAACAGTAAAAGGTTTCTGAATGCACGATAACCAAAAATTAATAAAACATCAAATGTGTAATGAATCCAAGGTGTTTCTGGCAGTGCTTGTCCATGTCACTGCAGCCTTGGTTCTGAACACAAAGTATGCACACTTTGCACTGTGCATGCCCGCAGGCCACACAACACCAACTAATGCTGCCTACACACAAAAAGGGGTTGTAAGTGAAAAAAGTTTAAGAAGCCCTGCACTAGATGACTTCTGAGGTCTTCTACCTAAAATGACCCTATGGTCCTATGCTAATAGCACAACTCTCTATCACCTCTCACTCCTAAAACAGATATTTTCTTCCTGGCCCTCAAGTCCATTTCCCAGTCCTCATAGCTGCGAAAGCCCTCCTTCCCAAAGCTACCTTATACTATTTTTTTATATATGTTGTGTATGTGTATGAGTGTATACTATATTACCTATACTTATACATGTTGGGGTAGCTAGGTGGCACAGTGGATAGAGCTCTGGCCTTGGAGTCAGGAGGACCTTAGTTCAAATCCGGCTTCAGACACTTGACATTTACCAGCTATGTGACCCTGGGGAAGACACTTAATCCTGATTGCCTTATCAAAAAAAAAAAAAAAAAAAAGCTAAAATTTTAAAAAATGTATATACTTATACATGTTTATGTTGTCTTCCCAGATTATAAACTCCTTGAGGGCAGGCACCATTTCACTATTATCTTTGTATTCCCTTTGCTTAGCACAGTGCTTGGCAATGGTGGGCATTTAATAAATTCTTCTCGTTGATTGGGCTTACTTTCCTAACCAGTTCTAGGGTATACTGTCCACTCTTCTCAAATCCCTTACAACTTCATCCAGCTGTGGCTCCCACCGTTCCAAGCCCCCACCATCTGCCTTCTCCTTTGTATTCATACTGCTAAAGTACCACAGTCATGCTGACAAGGTCAGCCACAAATCTATGTCATCTAATCTCAACCGGGCCCTTGGTGTTCCACAATAATCATTCCATATATCCAAAGTCTCAACCAAACCAGCGTACTTGATGTTCCCCAAACTTGGCATCCTATATTCTTTGTGCCCTTCACCGGCTGTCCCCCATGCCTTGAATGAACTCTCTTTCCTTATCTCTGGCTTCCTTTGAGGCCCAACCGAAGTACCACCTTTATGGGGGACTGTCTGTTGTCCAACCTCTCTTCCCTCCTAATTCTTTCCTCAGGGAAAAAGGAATTTTCCTCCTGAATTTTCTATCCTATACCCCTGGCCAAAAAAGTGGCTATCCCTTTGGTAAGGGGAAAAATCAGATTTAATTGAAGGAATTATCTCAGAATTGCTAGTTAAGAAAGCCTGATAAGGGTTTCTCATCTAGGCAAGACCAAAGACTTCAGACTAAGGTACTGTCCTTATATTATTAGTTAGTACACTGTCCCTCCTCAAATTATTGTGGATCTACTTTTCTGTGTTATGTGTTCAACTTAATAGTTGTACCCTCTTGCCTACTACATGCAAGATTCTCCCTTTTCCAGTTGAATGTAAGCTCCCTGAGAGCAGGCAGTGACTGTTTTTCTATGTGGGAGCATCCATGATGTTTCTTGACATTAAAAAGGGGTCTTGATACTCAAAATGGATGACACCTCTGGCTTATAGGGTGAAATACAATTTTTCTAGTCAGATGTTGAGGACCCTCCACAGTTTGGCCAATCTACCTTTCCCGCTTCATCTCTGGAGGCTCACTCTCACACATGCTTCTTCTGCTCCAACCGAACTGGTCTCTTCATCTCCAGGACACACCAGACCCACTCCAGGCTCCATTGCTTTTCTGGCCTGGAATGTCCTGCCCCTTCCTTTCTGCCCACTTCAAACCTATGTGACTTACAAGTTTCTCCTTTTAGCAAGTGTTCCTTGGTAGCTCCAGCCCTCAGGGACCTCCCTCCTCTCAGAGCCTCAACAGCCCTGATATCTGTGCATGACATTTCATCATATGTCATATGATACTTAATTGTCTCTGTAGGGTGGGCTGTTTCTCCTTAGACTGTGAACTTCCTTAAGACAGAGCCCAGGTCTATTCTTTTTCCATCTCCCCTAGACTGGGAGTTCCTTGAGGGCAGGACCCTGGTTCTTACTTCTTCCTATATCCTTAGGAAAGACTGATATGGGATGAGCAGATAGCCCCACTGGTGGGACCCATCCTTACCTGACCCATCCAGTCCAGTGAAGGAGCAGAAGACCCCCAAGCAGAGCCATCAGCCCCAGGGCCAAGGCAATAGCCATGCCAGTCACCAGCCCTGAGGTCAGGCTCACTCTGGTCAGCCCAGCTGTGGAGCCAGTGCTGCCTGAATACTGCACATCCCCCCGCAGGAGTCCAAAGGCTGCCCCTGAAGAGGAGAGTAGAAACAGGACATGCCAGATGAAAAAGGGCTCCCTACATACCATGCCCTCCTCATCCAGGAAGTCTTCCCTGACTACCAGGAAGAGAGATCACTAAAGAACTGGGACTACCCCTGAGCACTAGGGGTCCTATGTCTGGTAAGGATGTTCTTCTGTTTAGAGAGGAATCCATCTAGGCTTCTGGGGAACTGTCCTACTCCAAGGATGGCAGCTGGACATTCTTCTCTGGCAGCCCCCTCCCTTTATTCTCCTGCCTTTCATGGCTCCTTCTGACTTTGATATCCTACATTCTCTTAATCTTAAGATTCTTTCAGCTCTGGCATGCTGTGTTCTAGAATGAGCTGCTGTGTGAAGATTCTGGAGTGCCCAGTGAATCCAGAGCAGAGCAGGTCACTCTGTATCTTCAGAAGGCTGCTCAAAGCCCTCCTCTTGTGTGGAATCCAGTGTCTCCACCCCTGTCACTGAATGGTTGAACTCTATGTAGGTCAGAGGGTGGAGGGCCAATCAATCAATCAATCAATACATATTTATTAACCCCTACTATGTATGTCAGGCGCATCTCCCATTGGCCTACCACTAACTGAGCTAGTGACATTGATAGAGAGGGTCTCTGTCCCATAACTATCTTGAGGCTTCATCAGTACACAAGCCCTTAGTCTGTTTTGCCTCCAATCTGGGTCACTCTCTTTGATCTTCCAAGGTGTGGGGAAGAAGATGCTCATTATTCAAGGTCCATTTTCAATCCCATCTTCTTTGTGAAGTCTTTCCTGATCATTGCGACCGCCATTGCGCTCTCATTTTCCATTCACTTCTCAAATTCTTGACTTCTGAAACAGATCTTTAAGGCTACCACCAATCCCCTAATGGCCTTTTCTCAGTCCTGAGCCTTCTTGACCACTCAGCACTGGTCACTATTGACCACTTCGTCTTCCTGGATGCTCTCTTCTCCTTTATCTTTTGGGTTGTCCTGGTTCTCCTCTCATTTAACTATGCCTCTCCAGTCTCTTTCTTGGGATTGTCATTCATGCCTTATGCCTGTAAGAGTGGGGGACCCCCAGGGCTCCCTTCTGGGCCCTCTTCTCTCCTTTCTTCACTCACTCCCTGAGAAATCTCATCAACATCCTCAGACTCAATTATCATCTTACCTCAAGTTCCTCATTTATAAAGTGGAAATAATAATAGCACCTATCTCCAGGGTAGGGGTGTTGTGGTGATAAATGAGGGGGCTGGACTGAATGACCTTTAGGTCCCGCCCAGCTCCAGATCTATGATCCATCAAGAGAAAGAGGAATGGATCATAGTACAAGAGGGAAATGGTAATTAATAGCTAGCATCTATATCATGTTTTAAGGTTTGCAAAGAGCTTTAAATGAATTATCTTATTTGACCCTCATAACAACCCTGTAAGGAAGGTGCTAGTATTATCCCCCATTTTATAGATGATGAAACTGAGGCCCAGAGTGTTCAAGTGACTTGCCTAAGATCACCCAGCTAATAAGTGTCTAAGGCAGGATTAGAACTAGATCTTCCTGATTTGAGGTTCAACACTCTTATCTACTGCACTACTTAGCTGCCTCTAACTGGAGGAAGGGCGGGAATATATCTCAGAGCCCAGGGAGCCCAGCAGGCTCAGAGGCTGAGGCCAGGAGACTCCAGGTTCCTGACTTAGGTCATAATGGTCAAAGAAGGTTAATAATAAAGTGAAAAATGAAAACCCTGGGCCTGAAGGCAAAGTCTCCTAGGAGACTGGCTCTAATACTAGGAGCTGGTGCCCAAGGAAGATGACCTGGATATAGGTAGCTCCAGACAACCAAGTGTCACTTGTCACTATGTTGCTTTCCTGCTCTGAGCCTCAGTTTTCTCCTCTGTAAAATGGGAATAATAATACCTGTCTTACCTTTCTCTGAGGAATGTTGTGAGACCCCAGTGATTGAGAAAGTTCTTTGGAAACTGTAAAGAGCCCCTCAGCACTTATGAGGAGTCATGAGAAAGCTTGCTGGTGGAGGAAGGATTGGGAGAGTCGCTGAAATGAAGCTATGAATTGGGAAAGTCAGTACTACAGGGAGACTGCTCTGATGCCCCTCTGGACCCAGAAGGACAGGGCAGGTGGGGCAGGGGGTGGGGAGGGAGGACAGTGGGGCCCGTACCTTGCTCAGCCACATCAGTGAGGATGGCTTGGGCCACATCTGCAGCTGCCTTTCCTGCCTCGGGCCCGGCTCCATCATCGGTCAGCACCAGCTGGATCTGGGTCATGGTCTCAGCCTGTCGCTTCCCACGTGCTGTGTACCCTGACCCTCGCAGTGTGGGCGTCCTGCGTACTTTTGAGATGGCCATGCGCACCCCCGGAGCCTGGGGCTGAGGATGGCATGGGATCAGCCTAGGGCCTGGGGTGGAGGAGGGTGGACAGGCTATCCTCTGAGAGAGTGATTAGGCTGTGGGGAGCTTGAGGGCCTGGGTGAGGTGTGAATAGATTGGTTCCTGGGGAGGGGGGGAGAATGTGGGACATAGGGTCAGATTGGAAGTCTGGGGAGAAGGGGGAGTCCTGAAGAGGGATATTCCCTGAATAGGGAATGAGGTTCAGCTTGGGGGAATAGAGGCAGTAAGTTTGGTAGTGAAGGATAACAGCCTAGTGACGTGGTCTGGGGTGGATAGGATGTCCTCTTTTGTTGAAGCAGGGCATTGAACTTTTTGCATGGACACTCTCAGGAAGGGTTAGAAGAGGTGACGAATCCTGGCCTGGGCCTCAGCCCTTAGGCTGGATCCCAGAAAACTTGATCGTCTCTCTCCAAAGGTTCTCCAGGGAACAAAGACTGGAAGAAGGGGTCAGTAACATATGAAAAGTAATCTCTGACCGCTCTTTCCTTATAGCTTTGTTGAAGAGAGGAAGGAATGAGGGAAGAAAAAAGAGACAAGCATTTATTAAGCACCTACCATATGCTAGGTTTGAGGCAGCTAAATGGCTCAATGGATAGGGAGCTGAGCCTACAGTCAGGAAGACTCAAGTTCAAATGCAGCCTCAGACACTCACTAGATGTGTGACCCTGGCAAGTCACTTAACCTCTGTTTATCTGAATCCACTGGTGAAGGAAATGGCAAACCGCTCCAGTATCTTTGCCAAGAAAACCCCATGGACAGCATTGGTGTGCTATGGTCCTTAGGGTCACAAAGAGTCAGACGTGACTGAATGATTGAACAACAAATATGCCAGGCACTGTGCTAAGTGCCTTACACACAACTCATTTGATCCTCACAATAACCCTGGGAGGTAAGTGTTACTATTTCTCCATTTTACAATTGAAGAAATTGAAGTAGACTGAGGTTAAGTGACTTGACCAAGGTTACAACAAGTGTCTGAGGGGAGATTCGAACTCAGTTCCTCCTGACTCCAGGCCAAGTGCTCTATCCACTACTCCACCTAGCTGCCTGGAGAAGACAGAGAGGAGAGAAGAGTGTAGGAGAAAAACTGAGAGAAAGAGAGGAGAGAACAAGAGAGAAGGAGAGATAAAAGGAGAAAGGGAGAAGAGGTGGTGGGGAGAGAAGGCATAGAGGGCTGGGAGGGAGGAAGGAAGTTTCCCCCAGTCTGGAGAGGGGTCAGTCCCCCTGGAATGAATTTCAGAAATGATGAACTGAGGGGAGGGGATGGATGGGGGATCCTGAGCCTTCTTCTGAATTGTACCCAGAGGTTGGATCTCAACTTTCTTTAAACATCCTAGTTCAGAGGAACCTGAGAGGCTTCCTGGGACAGTAGGGAAGAGCCTAGGGAAAGAGGCCTGGGGCCTGGCAGTCTTTCCCCCTCCCTAAGCCCCACCTCACCCCCAAATTCACACTACCAAGTCCAGGAAGGTATGTAACAGCCTCTGCTTGTACTGGTGGAGATCAAAGGCCTGGGTGTAGTTGAGGAAGAGCAGGGCTCCTGAGGAACAGGAAAAAAGGAAAACTGTGGACCCCTCCTCCTCTGGGGAGCCCACAGGGATTTACCCACCACTCAATCCATCTCTGTGTGCCTGCCCCCCCAGCTGTCCCCATGGCAGGTTTCTAGAAATCTCAGGGTGTATGTAAGAGCTAGGGTTGCTCTTGAAGAGATGAAAAAGCCCCAGGTTGGAAGTCAGGAGACCTGAGGTCTTGTACCATCTCTGGTCCTGATTTGCTGTGTGATTATGGACTTCCCCTCACAGAGTCCAATGTCTTCATCTGCGTAATGAGGGAGTTAGATTATCAGGGGTGGGGTACCTGCAGGCTCAAGGCTATGTGTGGCCCTCTAGGTCCTCAAGTGTGGCCCTTTGACTGAATCCAAATTTCAAAGAACAAAATTCCTTATATTGAGGGGACACATGTGGCCTCGAGGCTGCAGGTTCCCCACCCCTGGACTAGATCATCTCTGAGATCCAATGACTCTTCATAGATCTGGAGTTGATATATACCTAATCATGTACAACTTGTTCCCCCCTTAGAATGTAAGCTCCCTGAAGGCAATAAGGTTCTGTCAGGCTGGATTAATCAAAAGCTGGAATGAAGGTTGCCAGGAGAAATATCAATAATCTCAGATATGCAGATGATAACAATCTGATGGCAGAAAGTGAAGAATTAAGAAGCCTCTTGATGAGGGTGAAAGAGGAGAGTATAAAAGCTGGCTTGAAGCTTAACATCAAAAAAATGAAGATCTTGGCAACTGGTCCCATCACTTCCTGGCAAATAGAGGGAGAAGAAATGGAAGCAGTGTCAGATTTTATATTCTTGGGTTCAAGGACCACTGCAGATGGTGACTGTAGCCATGAAATTAAAAGATGCATGCTCCTTGGAAGGAAAGCTATGGCAAATCTGGAGAGTATACTAAAAAGCAGAGATATCACCTTGCTGACCAAGGTCTGAATGGTCAAAGCTATGGTTTTTCCACTAGCAACGTATGGCTCTGAGAGTTAGACTTTAAGGAAAGCTGAGCATTGCAGAATTTATTCTTTCAAACTGTGGTGCTGGAGAAGACTTTTGAGAGTCCCTTGGATAGCAAGGAGATCAAGTTAGTCAATATTTAGAGAAATTAATTTAGGTTCTTCATCAAAAGGTTAAATACTGAGCTGAAGCTTAAATACTTTGACCACATAGTGAGAAGATGGGACTCACTGGAAAAGGGAAAGGTTGGGAAAAGTTGTTGGGAAAGGTTGAAGGCAAAAGAAAAAGGGGACGGCAGAGGAGGAGATGGATAGATAGTGTCATGGAAACAACAAATATGAACATGGACAGACTTCAAGACATAGCGAAGGATAGAAGGGCCTGGTGGGCAATGGTCCATGGGGACACAAACAGTTGGACATAAGTGAAGGACTGAACGACATCCCTAGCGCTTAGCAAAGTGCCCAGAGAACGTAGCGAGCATGGAATAAATTCTTGTAGGTTGATTCTGTCTCTGACAGCGAATATCCTTCCTCTTGCTCTAGGAAGAGCTATCCTTGTCATACCCCATCTCAGGGTCCCCCACTTACCACAGACCTCACAGCACTGGCCTACGGGCTTCAGGGCTCCTTGGCAGGCAGGCTTGGGGCAGCGACCTCCAGAGGTCTGGAGCAGAAAGGCACAGATCCAGGCCTTGACCTGGAATGGCATTCATCAAGTACACTCAGCAAACACCCAGAATCCCTCGTGCCTTTGCTTGTGGATGTAGGGAAGGGGAGAAGGGTACACAGACAGAAGGTCCTCGACCTTGAGCCTCCAGGGAGTTCAGAACCTAGTCCAGGAGGAGGGGGGATAAGAGGTGGACAGGTAAAACCGTGGAGTAATAATGTGTAGTGTGAGCAAAGTCATGAGAGGAGGACAAAGCATGTGAGTGTTCAGAGGAGGGAGGAATCTAGTCAAGCTGGGGGAATTAGGGCAAGTTTCACAAAGGAAATGGAGCCAGAGCTAAGCCTTGGAGGACAAGAAGAATTTCAGAAGTCACATGGGGGTTGGAAAGGATTTGAGCGATGTGAGAAGGCATTCTTAGATGTTATTCTTTCCTTTCTTTTTGATCGTCATCCCCTTCCAGGTCCATCTCTTATCACTTCCCGCTTGGACAGCTATAGGGCTGTCTTCCCACCAAGTCTTCCCAAGCCAAATCAGCATGAACATACTCTCTGAGTCACCTTCCCAAGACAGATCTGACTATGCTACTAAATGACTCAAAAATCAATCAGGGACTACTCATTACATTCCAAATCTTCCCCAATCAGCCTTCAACCCACCTTTCTGGATTTATCAAATGCTACTCCCCTCACCTACTCCGCTCTAGCTCATCAAAACCAAACAATATATTGAACTTTTCTGATTGCATGTGCAATATTCCATACCCACAGTCTCCCACATCTGCAATGAAGGGAAAGGCACATTTTCTCAATGTTTTTCCAGGGCCAAGAAAAGCTATTATAATTATATAGTATTCAATTTTGTGTATCTTGTTGTTCTTTCTGAACTAAATGATTTCTAAGTTCTCTTTCAGCTCCACACTGAGATGGCAAGTGTAGGGGGCTCCAGGGCTCACCTCATCATTACCACACTCACAGCCCGAAGGGTCCTCACAGGGGTCAGGAGCCAACCTCAGAGAACCAGCTCCATGGAACTGCAACTTCCCAGTGCTGCTGGCCAGATAGGCAGCCAGCTCCCGGTCTGTGCTGAACTTCTGTAGGGCAAGGACCCCCCCATCCCCAGAATTACTGTAAACAATAATATTAATAATCCCTTTGACAGAGGGAGAAATGGAGACCCAGAAAAGTGAACAGAGGTAGTTGTCTGAAGTCATATAGCTAGTGAAGTTCCTTTTTGTGGAGGTAGGGAAGGGAAGAGAAACAGACAGACAAAGACACAGAGACAGAGACACAAAGACACAGAGAAAGACAGAAACAGAGAAAGAGAGTGGGAAGCAGGGAGAGAGGTGTGGAACAGAGGGGGAAGAGAGAGGGAAAGAGGGAAAGACAGAGGGAAGGAGGGGGGTAAAGAGAAAGACAGACAGATAGACAGATTCTGACTCAGTATAAGCTTATAGTTAAGTCTAGGGTTATCGGTCCATGGCTTGGTCCTCTTTTTTTCTACCCCTATTGCATGATCTACTCTTTTAGAACCCTTGCTCAAAATGAAGACTATTTAAAGGAGAAGGCAACTACTGAGATAATAGTTTGCCAGGCAGTTTGAGGCAGGGGAGAAAGAGAAAGTGGAAAGAGGATAAATTCACCAGGTCCCAATAGTAGCGACAGTCTGGAAATGGCAAAATTCCTGTCCAAGTAGATCCTTAAGTGGGCCAGTGAACCAAAAATGACTCCAACTGCTCTTGATTATATTCAATTCAGTGTAGCCGTGAGCTTCGTGTGCAATTAACTGGTCACTGATGAGGGTGCATGCCTGTACTTCTAGACCCCCTCCCCTTCAGGAGCTCAAAAGTTCTCAGGCTTCCCTTCCTCTCCCCTCCCCTCAATGCAATATCCTCCTCCCATTATCTTTCAAACCCTCTTTCCAGTAGGGAAAAATTATACTTCCTATTAGTAAGGGATGCTAATAAGAAGCCATACTAGTCAAAGGCTATCAGGACTAAAATCTTTATCTCCTGACTACCAATTTAGGGTTCTCTCCACTGCTCCACACTACCTTTTTATGTTACCCTAGTAAAGGATGCATTCCAGATGATCTTTATATGGGAGAGGATGGTTGAAGTTCTCACCACCTGGGGAAGGGAAACAGGTCCAGACCCCTGGTTTGTACAGTGCACGACCCAGAGACTCAACCCCACTCACCTGGCCCAGAATGGATATACTATGGAGGCTGATGGTTCGGCCACCAGCCCCCAGGTCCACACGGAAGGAGGTTTCTGGTGGGAAGATGACATCATCATGGCGACAGGGGATAAGTTCAGCATCCATAGAGAAGAGGTGATCACTGTTTTGTAGGTCTGTATGCCACAAGGAGGGGTCATACCAGCTATACCGATCGGCATTTAGGAAGTGGATGTTGTGATCTAAGAAAGAGGGGCAAAGACAATATTGCCAGTGTGGGCCAAGCCAGAGGCCCTGAGATTAAGATATGGGTGTTGTCCTGGCATCCCTGGTACTGAACAAGTCAGTCAACAAACAGTTACTAAGTGCTTGCTACTGGGCTCTGGTGATTCAAAAACAAAAATGAAGCCATTCCTGCCACCAAAGAGATAACATTATTTTGGGGAAGGCAATATGCAACAAATCTATAAGTATACAAAAATGAATATTAGCTAATTTGAGGGGGACAGGAGGAGAAGGTAGTAGTGGTTGGGGGCTTGGTTTCATGAATACAGGCACACTGATACACTGAGCTATAAATTGGTCCAAACATTGTGGAATTCTATTTGTATTTATGCTAAGAAAATGACTAAAGACAAAAAGAAAGGCCTCACATACACTGAAATACTCCCAGAATCTTTATAGTAGCATTTTTATAGTAATAGAAAACTGGAAACAAGGCAGATAACCACCCACTGGAACTTGGTGAAATAAACTATGGTATATGAATATGACAGATAGTACTGTGCGGTAAGACTATGAACACAGAGAAGCACTGGATGACTTATGTGAACTGATCAGAATCAGGAAAACAACATGCACACTACTAAAACAATTTTTTAAAAAACAGTAACAAAAATAAAAACTGAATTATGACAAAGCTTGCCCCTAAAGAAGAGATATGAGAATGTACCCCCCCCTCCATTTTTGCAGATATGGGAGACTGTGGGTGAGGAAAACTGCATATGATGTTGGACTGGGTTAATGTGTTGGTTAGTTTTGCTTAACTTTTCATTCCCTCATTTCTTTTTATTATAAGGGATGACTCTGGGAGAGGGAGGAGGGGGTTTGATGATGTAAAGGTAATATAAAAATAAGTTCTCATAAAAAGTTTTAAAAATTTAAAATGAAAATAAAATGAAAATCTCCATATAGAAGGTAGAGCCTGATGTGAACTTTGAAAGAAACTAGAGATTCTCAAAAGTGGAGTTGAAGAAGGAGAGCGTTCCAGGCATGGGGGACAGGCTGATTAAAGGGACAGAGACTGGGACACTCAGAACTGTTTGCTGATCCCTGTTCTAGGTGCTATGGGGGAAGAAATAAAAATAGGGATAAAATCCCACCTTCAGGGAGCCCCTGGTCTGATGGAGGAAACATGACTTTGCCCTGAGGGGACCCCAGCATTCTTTAGGATGAAAGAGGTTGCCCTGAAAGTGGTGCCCATTCTGAGCAAGCCTTGTTATATACCACCTGAATCTGGGCTGGGATCTGAGGCTCCATCAGATGCAGTGAAGCCAGCACCAGGAGCCAAGATAAACTCTCCATCTAGAGGGAGGTGCTAGAAGAAAAAATAAGGGAAAAGAAATGCAAATGATCAACAACCATTCTTTCAAATACTCCAAATCACTAATAGTAATAACAGATAGCATTCATATAGCACCGCAAGACTTATAACACACTTTACATATTATCCCATTTTTTTGTTTTTGTTTTTCTTTAATTTTTTCGTATTATCCCATTTGATAAGAGAAATGCAAATTAAAACATCTCCAAGGTTTCACCTCACACTTGGTAAATTGAAAAAGATGATGAAAGATGGGAACAATGAATGCTGGAGGGGCTGTGGGAAGATCAACACACTAATATACTGCTGGTGGAGCTGTGACTTGGTCCAGCCTTCCTAGAAAACAATTTGGAATTATTTAAGAAAAATCTCTGAACTCCTCATACCCTTTGACCCTGCAATTCCAATACGAGGCTCATACTCTCTAAGGAGGCTAAAGATAAAAAGATCCTACATAGACCAAAATATTCAATACAGCACTTTTTGTGACAGCAAAAACCTGGAAACCGAGTGGGCACTCATCAACTGTGGAATGGCTGAACAAATTATGGTATATAAAGTTAATGAAACACCCTTGTGCCATAAGAAAACAAATATGATGTATCCAGAGAAACATGGGAAGACTTATACGAATAGATGCAGAACAAAATAAGCAGACCCAAAAGAACAATATACATAAGGGTTTCAAAGATGTGAAGAAAAGCAATGCTAAAAGATATCAGAAATCAAGCCAATGCACTGACCAATCACAACTGCAGAGGTCCAGTGAAGATATGTGTTTCCTTCCTCTCAACAGAGAGGTGGCGGGTATAGGTTTGAAATGAGGTAAACACCGTCAGACATGGTCAATGTGTCACTTTGCTTTGCTTAATTACACTTCTTTGTTACAGGGCAAGGAAGGCATTACTGGGGAAACAATATAAAAATCAATAGAATATTTTTTAAATGCATAAGGGAGGCAAGTAATGCAGGGGGACTAGCGATCAGAAGACTTGAGTTATATTCCTGGTTTTGTCCCTGGATCATTGTATGATATTGGGCAAATAATTTCTCCTTCCTGGGTCTCAGTTTCCTTCTTTGTGGAAAAAAAAAAGCAAATGGGGGAAGGGAAGGAAGACTGGACCAGTGGTCTCTAAGATCCCTTTTCTGTTCTACCTTTCCAACCAGTTTTATTATACATTATTCCCCTTTGTACACTCTCTGATTCAACCCATCTTGCCTTCTTGGTTTTCCTCACACACACTGTTCTATCTCCCGCATTTGCATGGCTGAGATATATTCCTGGGATATTTTCCTCTTCCTGGGATATATTCCATCTTCACCTCCTTCTCTTAGAATTCATTCAAAGCTTGTGTCAAATGCCATTTTCTACATGAGGCCTTTCCTTACCCCCTCCCCCCAGCTTTTATTCCTCTCTCTCCTCTAATCCCCTTATTTTTTTGGCTGTCTATTATGCATATGGAATAGAAGACTGGCCCAGCCCTTAAAAACACATGCAAGTTTTGCCTGATGTAATCTGCCATGTGGATATTTGATGAGTCAACCTCTGGACAAGAGTCCTAGAGGGCTCTACTTTGCATTTTGGAACATGGCTATTTCCTATCCACTTCCTACCAGGGAAGGGAATTATGGTCTAGGAAGTCACAAAGATGGTGAGGGGGACAACAGAGAAATCCATTAACATTGCCTTTCCAGAGGCAATCACACTCATGAGATTATTACGATTCTCAGAGAAAGAAGGGGAAAGAGAGGTGAGTGGGAGAGGGCATGAGCTTGGTGACTGGGTAGAAATGAGGACATGAAGACCCAGGGGTAGCCCAGTGGTTTAGGTTCTCCCAGGCTCCTCCTCAGGTGGTCTGGTTTGGAGGGAGGGGCAACAGGAGAAGGCATCAATGATGCTGAGATCACAGGTCCATTGAGGCACAAAGTGTTTCTTTACAAGGAAAATGGTCTTCAGATTGGGAAGCACAGGACAAAAATGATGAACAAGGTCTCAGAATCCAAGATAAGTGAGTTAGTAAGAGCGCACCTAGCTTCCCTCAGTGAGTTCAAGTCACCAGACCTAAATGAACTGTAGTCTCAGGGCACTTAAAGACCAGACTGATGCGATTGCTGGAGCACTGTTACTGACCTTAGAAAAGCTGCAGAAAACCAGACAGGCCATGGGACTAAGCAGAAGTAAATAACACCATGGTTTTCAAAAAATGGGAAGAGTTAGTAAGTTATGAGCTGGAGGTCTTGCCTTTGATTCCTGAAAAACTTTTACAGCATATAATTAAACTATGGTTAATGAGTATTCAAAAAAGCAAATCACAATCTCTAAAAGTCAACATGACTTCATCAGGGACAGGACACACCAATCTAACTCATTTCCTTTTTTTTGAGAGGAGGGATTAGACTTATTTTGTTTGGCCGCAGAGGTCAGAATGAGGGGCGATGGGTGGAAGTTACCTGGGGTATTGACAGGTTGCATGAGTTTACCATAGTGAGGTAGCTGGTGGTATAGTGGATAGAGTGCTGGGCTTAGAGTCAGGAAGACCCAAGTTCAAATCCAACCTCTGACACTCACTGTGTGACCTTGGGCAAGTCACTTAACCTGTTTGCCTCAGTTTCCCCATCTGTAAACTGGGGATAATAATAGCACCTACCTCCCAGGGTTGTTGTGAGGATCAAATGATATAATAATTGTAAAGCACTTAGTAAAAAAAATGTGCCTGGAATATTTTAAGTGCTAAATAAATGTTAGATATTATTATTATATTATAAGGGCTTTGTGGTATCAGAGGAAAGAGGGCTAGAGTCAGGAGCCCTGGATTTGTTTCACAGACCAGTACTTACTAGTTTTGTGATTTTGGGCAATTCATTTCAACTTTCTGAGCACAACTGTCCTCATTTATGAAATAATAATCTTCGGACCACCTGCCTCAACTGGGCTGTTTCATCACTTGTCAGAAAAGTGCTCTTTAAACTACAAAGTTCCATAGAAATGGGAACTGCCATTATCATTGTCATTCTTCATGGAGTCCTCCTTTAAGACACCAGGAAGTAGAAAAGGAATCAAAATATTATTTTTTTTTCTGTAGACATGAGGCTGCAACTCATGCAACTGGTTATATTTCTATGAAACATGAGGAACCTGGGGTTTGGGGGAATGCAGGATGGTCACTGAAGGACTAACCTTGACCCTAATCAGAATGTTTCCTTGGCCAATTGCAGGGTGAAGGCTCTATCAGCCTCCCACCATCTCTGACACATATCCATAGACGCAGGGAGACCTAAGGAAGAGCTTCCTGAATGTTAAGGGGTGTAGAAAGCTGGAGAGCTGAGGGAAGGGGATAGATAATAGGGGTGAGACATTTCTGGAGGCAAGGGGATGCCTGGGATGATGTTTAAGGGTTCTCTCAGCAACTGGGAGCCTAGCCCCTCTCCCTTTTACATTTCAAATGGTGCAAGAAGGGCTCTGGCCAGCAGATGGCAGCAGTCAGCTAAATCACCTTCCATTCTGGAGCAAATCCAGAATGGTTGCTAAATTCCTTTACCCAGAAGATCACTGGATTATAGGATTTAGAGCTGGAAGCAATCACTTAGAGATCATCTTGTCCCAACCCTTCATTTTACAGATGAAGAAACTGAGGCATAGAAAGGGGATGGGACTTGTTTAAGGTTGCAGAGCTCCAGTGACAGAGCCAAGACAGAAGGCCAGGTTTCCTGCCCATCAGCCAGTTTGGGACTGGGGCTCTGGTGAAGACACACACATACCATAGAGCCCTAAGATACCTATGACTAAGGCAACAAGTCAACAAACATTTATTAAATGCCTACTATGTGTGAAGCACTGTGCTTAGTGCTGGTCAAAGAGAAATTAGGAGGAGTCAGGTTAAAGAGGGACCATACATCTAGAGCTGGAAGGTCACTGAGTCCAAACCCATCATTTTGACAGATGAGGAAACTGAGGCACAAGGACATGAAATAATTTGCTCAAGGCAGTACAGTTGCAAGTGGCCAGGATTTGAACCTACATCCTCTGACTCCCAATCCAATGTCCTTCAATTTAATAAGCAATTATTAAGTATTAATATGTGCGAAGTCCTATAGGGGATAATAACACTAGAACACACTTCTATAGAGCTCGAGGGATGAACTACCCTGTGAGATAGGTTGTACAAGTATGATTATCCCTGTTTTATAGATGAGGAAATAAGACGAAGGGAAGAAAAGAGACTTGCCTAGGGCCATGTAACTAGTGTCAGAGACTCTTGGGGAAGCAGAGTCAGATCTTCTAAATCACAAACAAGTATGATTTCCTAATGGAAATTTATCCAGCTCTTTGCAAAGATCAAATCAGACTGATCCTAATCTCAAGCATTGACTGCTTTCAGAGTCAGAAACCCAGAGTTTCAGTCCTGGCTCAGACATTTCCTTGCCTGAGATTCTGTTTTCCAAGCTATACAATGGGAATTAATCTACCACTTCTTTACTTGGAGGGTTATTGTGAGGAAAAAGCTTTGTAGACCTGAAATACTTCACCGTGTCTATGCTTTCATCCATATGGGAATTCTCTCCAAAAGTACAGATCCCAACCCACCCATGTCTTCTTAGCCTGTGCCCCTCTTGTTCATATCATCCTGTGAATCTTTCAGAAGAAGTTCATTCAAGATATTGTAGGTCTCCAGTTTTGTTTTGTTTTAATTTTGGAGGTCCCAGTATAGCATGTATTTAAAAACATATGTTATTGTTTACTTATTTCAATCTGACTCTTGATTTGGGGTTTTCTTGAGAAAGATATTAAAGTGGTTTGCCATTTCCTTCTCCAGCTCATTTTACAGATGAGGAAACTGAGGCAAACAGGGTTAAGTGACTTGCCCAGGGTCACAAGAGCTAGTAAATGTCTGAGGCCTCATTTGAACTCAGTAAGATAAGTCTTCCTGACTCCCAGCACTGTATCTACTGTGCCACCTAGCTGCCATTTTAAAACATCAAGGGTCCAAATCTTA